ATTTATAATATCGTTGCCAAAAATAATAAAAAGCGGCAAACGTCCAATTTATAATATCGTTGCCAAAAATAATAAAAAATGGCAAACGTCCAATTTATAATATCGTTGCCAAAAAAATAATTATAATAGCAAACGTCCAATTTATAATATCGTTGCCAAAAATATAATAAAAACAGCAAACGTCCAATTGATAATATTGTTGCCAAAAATAATAAGAAATGGCAAACGTCCAATTTATAATATCGTTGCCAAAAAATAGTTATAATGGCAAACGTCCAATTTATAATTTCGTTGCCAAAAATATAATAAAAAGCAGCAAACGTCCAATTTATAATATCGTTGCCAAAAATATAATAAAAACAGCGAACGTCCAATTTATAATATCGTTGCCATAATTAATAAAAACAGCAAACGTCCAATTTATAATATCGTTGCTGGTCATTTTAAAAAATATAAATAAAAACAGCAAACGTCTAAATAATAATTTCGTTGCCATATTCATCGTAAAATTAAAATATTAGAATAGTGTACAACGTATGTAATTTTTGTTCAATACAAAGATCATGATAATGAAAAAAATATGAACCAAATTTTCTAACAGGAAGGTCGATTGGTACTTTGCAGAAACTTCAAAAATAATTTCAAATTTTCATACAAAATTGTATTCAGCTCGTGAAATGCAATTGATTTATCATTATAATGATAATATATATATTATCATTGCAGATACAATTGTATTGCTAAAATTGTATTTGAAACTTTCGTTAGTTGACAGTAGAGAGCCGCCATTTTCTTTCGGTAAAAAACCGAAAAATTTTATGTGGCTTTTTGTATAAAAAATATTGTACATGCCCATATTTTAAATGTTTTTAGATCACTGGATCGAAATGTATCGAATTTTCATTATTAATACATCATGGAAACGGCTGTATCGTTTAAAACACAACCAAACCATCGGTTATGGTTATGGCCGCCATCTTGGATTTTCCAAAACCACAAATTTTAAATTGCGAAAAAATGCAAAAATCCCAATCAATAATTAGAAAAAGTGCGATAATATCAAATAAATATACATATATTTATCGTACATCAACAAATAAAGCACGCACACGACATTTTGAAACACGCAAAATTTCGTTGGCATCTGAACCAGACGGCGTCACTTGCGGTGTTAATAAAATGCAATAATTATGCAAAATAATACAAAATAGAAGCACTTACCTTTTTTAAAAGGGTTGTACACCGGGACACACTTTTTAGACACTGTTTCGCTTTAAAATAATAATATTTACTTATTTGTTGCACTGCACTGCGCGGAGGTGTCAACAGTTCGGAGGCTAACGTGCTAATGAGCCGCGAGCTGATTAGTAGCTAATTTTATAGCTGTTGCACGGATTCAAAATGGCGGATGCTGATGGTAAAGACAACAACCCCCGAAGGAAAACACAAATCCAGTTAGAAAATTCGGTTTAAATCAGACTATATGGGCGAAATGATATGATAAATATAATAAACCGAGTTAAAACACAATTCCGCACATTAATTAAGCACTTTTCCTTGAGTAGCTAAAGATTACAACAGCTAATAGAATTGATTAAGGATTACACAGTAATAAACAATTTTGAAACAAATTATTGAAACCACATTAAAAATGAAGTACAATACCATGCTGTGCACAATAAATATGCGAAAACTCAATCGTACATTTCTTTCACCAATCTGAATTTTGTATCTGTCAGTCACATACACAGCAACATTTTTTAACTAAACTATTAAAACTTCACACTGACACTAGCTGCAAATAACTTAATATAAATCCTGGATATCAATTATTAAACAGCAAACCGCGTATTGTACTAATTAATTGAAAAAAAATCAAAGTAAATCTACTTGTTGACAATCAAATCATAACCGCATTTTCAAACACTAATAGTTTTAGCCAAATGCACCAAAATGTTAAAAAACGTTGGTAAACTCATTACTGATGCAAATTATCATGTTATCAAATTATATAAACTATAAGTTATATTAATAAATATATAAATAAATAAACAAATTTTCCAATATTTTTTTGGTTTGAAATGACAGCAACATGTGAAGTACACAAACTTTGTTGCAGCGTCACCAACATTAAAAGTAATTCAAATTATCGCACAATATATATTTAAATAAATACACATTAAATATTAATTATAATTCAAATACGTATTGCTTAAGTACTCTAGAAATGATATTATAATATAAAATAATATATTTTTTAGTTTTGGTTAAATTCTTTCACTCGTATGTCAAACCTGTACCAACGTCCATTTTGTAAATAACTATTTGAATTTCAACATTAAATATGATTATTTGTGTTTACCGAGTACAAGAACATAAAAACCTAATACATCAATACAATAGGTATGTTAATAATTTATTTAAAAAGTTATTAGTATTTAGTACACAATAGTTTTTAATCTGTTTTTTATGTGCATAGCAACAAGCATATGTGCATACATAAGCTTCTATATTTTTGCAGAATTATTAATTATAAGAACAACTATATTGTATTTATAATGATATTATGATTATATAAGTTTAAATGAAGATATTATGTACAAAATGATAATGAGAATAACATAACCATGTTATGATGACAATATTCACAGAGAAGTACAAATAAAGCAAGGTGTTATATTATTTATGAAGAATATTTATATACACTGCAAAAAAGGGTAAACCTTTAATACAATGGGTATGTTATTAATTACATAATTCATTAAAGCACTTATTAGTATTCAGCGCACAATAGATTTTTAATCGGCCACAAGATATGCACACATAAGCTTCTTTATTTTTGCAGAATTATTAATTATAAGAACTGCGATGAATTTATAAGGAAAATATGATTATTTTGGTGAAAATGAAGATATTATGTACAAAATGAGTACTCAGAATAACATAACCATGTTATGACATAACATATAATTAATTCACAGAAAGGCACAATAACTAAATCTTTTCTGAAGATATTTGTATTCGCTGGCACAATAACTAAATTTTTCTAAAGATATTTGTATTCGCTGGCATATAATCTGCAATTTGAAGATATAAACATTTGCACAAGTACAAAACAAGACATTGTATGATTTATAAAGGATATTTGCATTTATATAGAATTAAGTCATTGTCTACAATCTGAATTAACTTTCTAGAATCTGGATTTTTCGACTGGTTAAACTGGTAAGAACTCAATACATCAATACAAAGTGTATGTAAATAATTAGTTAATACATTAAAAAACTTGTTAGTATTTAGTACACAATAGTTTTTAATCTGCAACAAGCATATGCATGCATAAACTTCTCTATCTTCGCACAACTATTAATTATAAGAACAACTATATTGAATTTATAATGAAATTATGATTATTTAGGTTGAAATGAAGATGTCACACACAATCTGTTTACTAAGAACAACCTAACCATAGATACAATTTATTGAAAGGCAAAAGTTATTTATAAAGTATTTTCCTGTTCGCTTATATATATTCCACAATTTGAAGATGATTTACACGAATTTATTATGATTTTATTGTTGAATCAAGAGAAGTATAAAACCTTAATACATTAATACAATAGGTATGTTAATAATTACTTAATTCGCTTAAAAATTGGTATTTAGTACCAAGTTTCTTATCTGGCTAAAGTTTCTCTCTCTTTGTACGATTATCATTTATTTATTTATTTTATTACATTACGCACAGAATTGTTCCAAGTGGACTTATAATTATAATCATTACTAATACAACATAGTAGTATATATAATATAACAATCTCTTAAAATAACATAGAATAATTGTTAAACATATTTAAAAAACAAACTAAAACATATTTGAAAAGCAATATGTGTAAAGATTAAGTTGAGCAGTTGGAGATTATTCGATTTAGTGAACTATTATGATTATCTTTAATAATTGGATAAATTTTAGTACACATTACAATATGCGAATTGAACTAAGAATTAGATTTAGGAAAGGAGAATCTAGAAACGTTAAAGAATAGTTGATAATATAATATTAATAAAAAGATAAAATACTAAAAAATTATATAAATATAATATTATTTATGAAGGATATTTATTCTCACTGGTAAAAACTTAATGCATCAATACAATTAGTATGTTAATAATTACTCAATTCATTCATAAACTTATTAGTATTTAGTACACAATAAACTAATCAGTCACAAGCATATAAGCACGCATAAGCTTCTCTATTTTTACATGATTATTAATTTAAAAAACAACTATTTTGAATATATGATGAAATTTATTTTATCTAGGCTTAAAAGAAGATATGACACATAATCTGTATACTTAAAACTTTTACTTATGAAGGATATTTTTGTTCTCGCTGGCATATAATCGACAATTTGAATGAAGATAATAACAAATACACAGCAAGTCATTATATGGTTTATAAAGGATATTTTCATTTATATAGAATTTATATATAGTTATTGTCTATAATCTGGATTAATTTTCTAGAACCTGGATTATTCGTTTCGTTAAACTGATAAGAACTCGATCAATTCATCAATACAATGGGTATGTTAATAATTACTTATTTTATTCGAACACTTATTAGTAGGTATTTAGTACACAATAGTTTTTATTGGCAACAAGCATATGCGCACATAAGCTTCTTTATCTTTGCATAATTATTAATTATAAAAACGACTTTAATGAATTATAATTCATTAAAATTAATCTAAATAAACTTAATTTAATTATTATAATAATTCAATTAAGTTTATTTAGGTTTACATGAAAATATAATACACAATTTGTTTACTTAGGACAACATAACAATGTTGTGAATGCAATTAGGAAATTTGCTTTATTAATCCATACGTTAATTAATTAATTAATTATAAAAACGACTTTAATGAATTATAATTCATTAAAATTAACCTAAATAAACTTAATTTAATTATTATAATAATTCAATTAAGTTTATTTAGGTTTACATGAAAATATAATACACAATTTGTTTACTTAGGACAACATAACAATGTTGTGAATGCAATTAGGACATTTGCTTTATTAATCCATATGTTAATTAATTAATTAATTATAAAAACGACTTTAATGAATTATAATTCATTAAAATTAACCTAAATAAACTTAATTTAATTATTATAATAATTCAATTAAGTTTATTTAGGTTTACATGAAAATATAATACACAATTTGTTTACTTAGGACAACATAACAATGTTGTGAATGCAATTAGGACATTTGCTTTATTAATTCATACGTTTCGATCTGCATCGAGACCGTCATTCAGTGAAACAAAGGCTACGCTGATTCATCGAAAACATAAATATATCTATAATAATAATACATACAATAATAAAACAAATTTAATAAAGAAGCATATTTCTATTGCAGTTGAATATTTCATTTTTTCCTAATTGAATTGTTATTTATTGCATATTATCATTTGTCAACATATGCGGGCAGCCGGGCCGCAAAAATATCTGCTGTGGGCCGCGAGTTTGACACCCATGCCCTAGAGCAACGCGGTTCATTAATCATAAATGATAATGAACTAGTAAGGCACATGGCATCGTGCCTTAAGGCAAATTGCTGGGACTTTCCGTACCAAAAATTATTATATTTTTTAAAACGATTAACATTTTTGAAAAAGTTTTATTAAAAAAAAATAGATTTTTGAGAGTTTCTCAAATTTTTGGTGTTGTGCTTCATAAATTTGACACAAAATTACTTTTTTTTGAAAAAAAAAAATATTGAAAAAAAATGTTTTCTTTATTTTGACATATTTTGAATGTAAACAAAATTTATACTTATTATTAAAATCTCTATAAAATATCTGATAATTTTATGTCTAATGATCATTTTTGACCGCCAAATGGCATTTTTTTACTTTTTTTATTAGATCTCCGAAATCGCTAGACCTGCCTTCATGAAAATTTGTTCAATTCTTCATCTTGTCAATACAAGTAAAATGTTTTTTGAATTATTAAAATCGGATGCTCCGTTCTTTTAAAAACTGAGTTACCATTTATGGCCGGCCTTCGCCAAAAACTAATCAGCACGTCTAGTTATCAATATGAATCGAATGTTTTTTGAATTATTCAAATCGGTTGATCGGTGTTCCCGTAATTGTCGACGAAAATTTGTATCCGCACACACACACACACATACACGCACATAAACACACATACACACACACATACATACATTCATACAGATTCCTTAAGGTATGCCAAATGTTCAGAAGGTTTTGAAACGTAAAGATATATAAAAATTTTCATTTTCGATTTTTTTGCGATTACTATAACATGCTCTACGGGAAGTTAATAATGAATATTTCGAGACGGTGCTGGTTGATTATATGTAGGGCATAGTATTACAGTCTATAGTATAAAGTATTCTAGATCATACATTAAAGGTCATTAAAAGTCTGTAGGATAAAGTATTGTATAGATCATACATTAAAATCTAATAAGAGTCTCGTAACATATATATTTCAACAAATTTTTAAAAAAATGTGTAACTATTTCGTGTTATTCTTTTTCCTTTTCACCTTTTTTCTTGATTCAGGTTTGTTTTAAACGTTTATTTTTGTAAAAAGAGAGGGATCAGAGGTCGTTTTCATTGCCAATTCAAGGAGATACGGTTAATTATAATATTTTTAGCTTCGATTGTATTTTTAGTGTTGCTTGTGGGTGTGTAAGTCCGCACGTGACGTTGCAATGCGAACGGTTCATTTTTATCGAGCGGATGTGGAAAACATTTATAGAAAATTAAATTAAAAATTTATTTGAAAAAATTATATTAATTCATATACATATATGTATAGTAGGGCAAGTCAATTTAAAAATAGCTTAAGCACATGTGATTTTTGGATTCTAGGGATCAAAATAAGAAACTTTTTTTAAGAAACCATATCTCTAAAAATGAATTCCGATGTTCCGATGTAGGTTCAATTCACTTTTACCATATTACAACATATCGATTTTAGAATTTGTGTAACTGTACTCTCTTTGAAGAATATTTTATATGTAAAAATTCGAGTCGAGGGGTAACAAACGGTGTGTCCTCCAAAATCTTGACCATTCCCAAGGTCTTTCTCCCCTGGTGTCGCGATCAAAACAAATCCCACCGCCAGTGACGTCATTCCGGCTTTCGCACCGCACCATCGCATCATCACTTCACCATCACGTCGTGCAGTCTCACCCGTCATTCGCCTCTCACGTTGCGATCACGTCGCGATCACGCATGGACCGTTCGCAGTTCACGTGCTGATCACGCTCGAAATCGGCTCCGATTGGCCGACGGGCGACGAGCCCTCGACCCGGATTGGTCGAAGAGGCCCGGAGCACGTGGTGGACGGATGACACATAGGACTCATACACTGATGCAGGTTGTGGCGGTGTGGTGGTGAGTGAATCGATGGGTTTTAGTGCTGGAAACAATGGGGAAAAAGACGAGGCAGCAAGGCTGCTGTGAGGTTTGATTACATAGATAGTATACGTTTTAGTTGATGATTTACAAGCAACATAGATCGCACCGCTTGTACTACAACCTTAAGGGGGTATTCTAGTGTAGACCGATGAATTTTAGGTCATTTTTAAAGTGTCGTAAAAGAAAGCAATGAATGTTTTTACTATACATTTTTTACCACTTGTTTATTAATATTATTAAAATACAAAACAAAAAATAAAAAAGTTAAAAATTGTAAAAACTGGCAACTGATAAAATGGGTGGTCTCAAAAAATTGGCACGTCAGTCTTGACATGATTTCAGCCCTCCTAGCCATCGAAAATGCAAAAAGTAAAAAGATTATTAATCTACAATGATGTCGCAATCGCTCGAACTAGCGATGAGTGAAAAAATTTTTTTTCACAAATTGGCGACTGTTTGAAAAAAAAAGGTTTTTTTTACTGTTTTTTTGAGTTTCTCGAATTTTTTAAAAATAGTCAAAATAGGAATTTCGGGATGATTCTAGTTCAGACTATAGATAGATCTATAAACAAGATTCCCTGAAAATTTCAAATAAACTGGTCAAGTAGAACTCCAGAAATCGTGACAAGAGTACTGAAAAAGTAAGTTCTGGGAAAAACGCATTTAAAGTTTTGCGTGAAGCCAAACCAGTATGGAGACCGAGTCAGTAAAATGCCTATATCTCCAAAAATAATTCAAATTTTCAAATACCTTCTCGTACTTATATTCTTAGATAGTTTTACTTTGCAAATATGAAATAAAAAAAATCGATTTTTTTGAATTTCTACACTAGAATACCCCCTTAAAATTTACACATATTATTCATTTTTATACTCTTCTTTTATCTATGTATTATTCTTTAATGTGTATACGTGAAACGTCAGTTAAATCGATAAGTTTTATGACAAAAGTTAGAGACAGAAGAGATTTTATAACGATTTGTAAGCTTTACAATCTTCAACTTTTGTTTACTTCAATACATTTATTATAGCTGCAAATGAAAAAAAGAATAAGTATTAACGCGCAAAACTTTTAATTAAAATTAAAAGTTTTGCGCCCGACCACCCGATTTTCTTGCAATTACTATAACTTACCCTATGGGAAGTAGTAATATACATATGTAAATCATTAGTAGGAATGATAAAGATGACTAGATATGGTTATTTAATCATAAAAATGATTTCATATCGTCCTAAGCATTTATTAACAATTATCAATTTACATCGATTTTTATAAATTTCGTCCATTGCACAACACTATTCCAACCGTTTCTATGCGTTAGTATTAGTTTTATTTAAATTTAACAACAAATCTGTATATATACATTTGTTTATTACTAGAAAGGGTGTGTGCCTACATTTGACTTTTTTAGTATTCGTAGAAGAAATTGATTAAAAATTAAAATAAAACGACATTCTATGATTTTTGTTCTAAGTTGTGCGCGCATTTTGATTTCAATTCGCGACGGATCGTCGTCCTGAATACACCTATTTAAAGAGAACTGTTGTAAAAATTAATTAAAATTATTAAATATTAATTAAACTAGCGCGATTAATTACATTGCGTGTTAGTTTAATAGTCTGACAGTATAAAATCATTGTAAAAAGTGACTAGTTTGTGTTTTTTACAAAAATGATTTATGAAAATTGTGCAATTTTGTCACCACCTTGGTCTCCGGATCATTTGAAGGAGGTATGGATTTATTTAATATTTTTATAACTTTAATATCATTTAATAAATTCGTAGAAAACTATAAATAATCTTAAATATTTTCTAATATTATAAACATAACAGCAACTATCGGTAAACTTTAAAATCGCAATAGAAAATATAGGTGAAGCGTTTTTATGTTTTCTATAAGTTTTAAAATAAAAGATTTATATAATCAATTTATTAGACAAATGTGTCTAGAATTAAATCGTTTACAAATTTTACTCAGTAATAGAGATCCTAGAACAACTCTATGAACTCTAAAATCACATTTGATGAAATTTAGTTATCAATTGAGGAATATAAAAACAGTGTGTATTAGAATAGTGTTAAACTATTCGTGTACTATAAATAGTACATTTAGACAAATAATGCAAACCTAAATCATCTACACCTTGGCCTGATATGAAACACCTCTATAGCAATTTTCTATACTTTTAACATGCAACAGAAATTAACCAAAGGGTAGTATGTACATAAAAGAGACGTATTAAAGGTTACTGAACATTCAACGTGTTTTTTAAATTAATTTATAGTTTATATTTATAATAAACAATGAATTATCCGCGATCACTCACGGTTCACGTGAACACTTGCTGAATGTAGTAAGAGATATCTCTTTATCTTTTCACACCCGTTTGCATTTTGTTCCCGGAGTACATTGCACGGACGCGTGGTCGGTGCGTGATTGATAAAAATCTTTGTTTTTGTATTGAAAACCCTTTAAATTTTAATTTTATCGTATAGTTTATATTAAGTTATGTTTATTCTTGATATTCTCCATGATATAATACTCTATATTTTTTATTTTGTACAAATTTAATGCATCTACTTGTTCATCCGTATTGTTATAACGGTTATATTACATATCCGCCATGAAAGTTCCGTTTTAAATAAGTTCAGTAGCGTTAATTATATTAATAATTAAACACTTAATTTTTAACAGTCAAATACTATTATAACGATTCTTATTTAGTATTTCCCCGAAAAATTGACACATTGCAATAAATAAATAATAAAAAATAAGTTTAATAGAAATAAATGATAAAAATAAATTAATGTAAAATTAAAATATTAGATTAACTTTTAACAAATATTTATTTTTTATTTTCAGGACAATCAAAATGATCTTAAAAGAAAGTACGTGCCGTCCAGTTTTCAGAATCAAGATATTTCCGAAAATGATACTGATCTTCCGCTCAGAAAACGGCATTGTTGTCGATTGGACTTGGATGAAGCAAATAATAGATTATCAGAACTTAATAGAATTTCATCAGAATTTCAAAATAACTTAGCTGAATCTAGTAGATTCCAACAGCTTTCTAGTTTTGAAGAAAATTCGTTAGATTGTCCAGACAAATCAATGACTCACCAAAGAGAATCAGTTATAATGCGTGTGGATAAACAAGGCAAATGTTTCAGAGACTCTGATATAAATAGTGATGGTGTTTTAATTGAATTCAGACCGCCAACGCCGCCACAATCTGATAATGAAGACAAAGAAGTGCCTTTTAACGTAGTACGTTCATTAAAATTTAAAATCAAATCAAAATTACAAAATGAAACAACACAAAACAACTTAACCGTCAACCATGGCGTGACTGAACCTTGCTATACACCTGTTGTACAACAAACCAAACCTGCAGCGACAATAAAAACTGCGCCAAAAATTTGCGAAAAAAGACTTCTGCCTAAATTGGCACCAAAACAAAACGTCCAACATATACTGGATCCGACATTTATCACCCATGCCAATTTCCAAATGGAGAACAGACTCTTCCCGGTTTTATTAGTGACGCAGAATCCTGCACAAATGGTCAACTTGGTTGGGACAGTAGATGTCGCCACTCCTGCTACTGATGGTGCCAAAACTGTCGGTAAACCAGAAGACACAAGGCGAAGGATTTATGAATGCCAGTATCCTGGATGCGGAAAAAACTACTTTAAATCGTCTCATCTTAAAGCACATAATAGGTGAGAATTATTATCATATTCACAATTGTTTCTAACTCTTCTAACAGTATAATTTAAACTCCCGCCTAAGCAAACCTTACAATGCAGAGAAAATATATTTGTTTTCAATTTTCAATTGTTCTTTTAAAGTGTACAGAGTTGCTTTACAGCTATATAATTTCAGACACTTTTGCAAATCTCAAAACTTTGTACAATTTTGGCATATATACGATTCATATAAACCAATACATTGCAAGTTACAATATAGAAAATAAATTTATAAAAATTGACGTTGTTTGCAACATCTTACATATTAGTATTATATTTTTACCTTTCTCCTTTCTTCCAGGTGTCACACAGGCGAAAGGCCCTATCGTTGTTCCTGGCCCTCGTGCACCCGTCGTTTTTCACGTTCTGATGAATTGTCGAGACACAGGAGGTCCCACACGGGCGAAAAGAGATTCGCCTGCACCATTTGCACGGCCCGATTTATGAGAAGTGATCATCTGGCAAAACATGTTAAAAGACATAGTAAACAAAACAATAATAATAAAATGACAGACCAGAAATGTGTTTGAATAATGGATAGATAGCTTCAAAAATATGGTATGATCAAAGAAGTATTATCAGTTGGCAAGTGACTGGTGTCTAATGCCAGAGAGAAGTAATGAATTTGGTAAAAAACGTGATAAAATACATAAGATAAAGGATGATAATATAAAACCAGACAAGAAATAACGCAATGATGAAGGTTAATAAATGAATGTGGAGAAGAAATGTTTATAAAGATCTGGTTAAAGACTTATTTAAAAGCTGAGAAGTGAAGATTTTTTGTCTAATTCTGAAATGACTGAAGAAAAATTAAATATTGGTAGAAGATCAAGATAAAATTTATAACGTTATCATTATATTTAAAACGAATGTATTAAAAGCTGATATGCAGATTCCCTGTCACTGGCTATAAAATCGCCAGATAAAGAATGATATAAATATAAATATAAAGGGATAGCGATCGAGAAAAGATGAAATATTTATAAAGAAAATGTTAAAGACTAAAAGCTAAAACTTGTGCCTTGAATATCAATTGACACTAGTTCAATTATAAAAGTAAAAAATAATATAAGAAAAACCTAGGAAATGATACATTTGAATGAACGATATGGGCAAAACTGTCAAATAGATTTTTTTGATAAAGACAATATCCGTTTTATTGTATTAGTCTCTAGTAGCCTCCTGAATGGTATTATTTATATTTATAGTTTGATTTGTAACTTTCAAACAGAATATATTCAATATAAAAGTGTACTTCAAAGCGACAGCTTGACAAACTTTGTCTATTTTCAATAACTTTGGGAAACAACACAAGACTAAAGTAATTCGACATAATTCTAAATAATTATGAAGGATCGTGTTTTGGGCTGGCATGGGTTAAATTCAAAATGAATGAGAAGAACTATGTATAATTGTGATATCAAAGTCGACTAGAATAAGGATTAATTTGTTATATGCATATATGTATATTTATACTTGTATTGATATATTTGCTGTGATCATGAATCTATTTATATGAAAATATATATTATTAAACTATGTATATATAAATATAAAATTTAATACAAATATTAATATTCACAAATATAGTTTGAATTTATATATGTATTTTAGTACCATTGAGCAATTTCGTGTTTTCTTTGGCATTGTGACGTCATATTCCATGACGTTTGAGTTCTTGCAAAATAAACCTTGCTAATTTTAAATTATGCAGGTATTATGACGCCCGGAAAATTTTTATACATTAAATACACAAACAATTTAACTTCTTCAACACAATCTGATGGTACATACTATAAAATCAATTCATCATAAAATAAATTAAATGAAATGAATAGGCAAGAACCTTGAACGGCCCATACACGTTAGTTAAAGGTTTTTCACATCTTGCTAATGATGTAGTGTAAAAGTTATTAGTCATTGTTTATTAGTATTTTAATTAGGCTTGCACCGAATATTCGGTTACTATTCGGTATTCGGCATATTTGGCACCTTTTATAATATTCGGCCGAATACCGAATAGTAACTTAATATTCGGCCGAATACCGAATAGTTAAAATTAAAGGCGCTGCCGCCGCTCAGCGACAGCGTTGTTGGTGTTTTATCCTTTATGAGATAAAGAGCTCACAATGGACGTGTCTTTAGAAATGTTTAGTTTACATAATATAATATGAAGAAATGATTTCGTTATTGCGTATTTCGTTATTATGTATATATAATAATTTAAATTTTATTGACGTTTGACATTATCAATAAACACGTGAAGAACTTTTTTCTGAATATTTACAAGATACTTTATTGTTACATGTTTATATTATTTAATATGAGTCATTCAGTGGTTACATGCATGTGTTATATCAATAGAATAAAGTCATTCATTATATTCAATCTATACATTTCCAAATAAAGAGCTATTATTAGTCAAGTCCAATTATTACAAACGAGTTTAAGCCCCAAAAACCTGCTGAATAGTTTCCGAACATTCGGTATTCGGTCTCTGAAGCTTGCCGAATATTCGGTATTCGACATTTTGCCGATTATACTATTCTGCAAACCTAATATATATTATGCATTATAATAATAATACAAAATAAATACAAAAAAAATCAAATCTAAACTAAATCATTAAATTATTATTATTATATTGTCTAGGCCTGGTATATTCCAAAAAATATATATATATAACCAAAGCTATTTCACTTAAAAACTAATATTCTTTTAAATTGTACTACACGTACATATATGAATGGACAAACATGTATTTATATATTCAACAAACTTGTAAATAATTAAAAAAGAGTGCGCGTAAGGATCACACGCGATTGAAGTAAAACTTTTAATATTGTATGAGTAGGCAATTAAGATAAAAATAAAAAAAACATCATATTTAAATTTTAAAAATCATTTATTAATAATCACATAACATCAATAACACAGTTTAAAACAACATCGATAGATTAATTGCTATCATATTTCATATATGATATAATAGGTTTGTGATAACTAAAATGAGAGACATAAATTTTGCTTTGTAAACTATGTACATTTCTGGAGAAAACTGCATCAATAGTCGTGCCATATCTTGTGGTTGATTCAAATGGAGAATTATTCATTGTTAAATTAAATTTATTATTTAAAAAATCAATTAATGGTTGAGATTCTTCTGAACGAAAATTGACATTAAAATCTCCAGCAAGAATTAATGGTATCTCGTTGTGATTAGTGTTTAAAAGTTTTGCACCCTCATAAGAAAAATGAAGTAACTGCTGATGAAGAAATTTAATAATATTTGATATGTTTTTATTGGGAGAAATGTAAAGGACGACTATAATCAATGTTTGATTCTGTGTGTGTAATATCACCTACTTGTGTAATTTCATTAGAAATATCCAGTAATATCGTTGGCGCAAGAAACTGCATAGGAGTCGCATTATGAAGAGTATCTGAACATGAATAATAGACATTAGACAGCTACACCACCTGCTCTTGAGTCCGATCGTTTGTATTGAGTAACGCAGTAATAGTTCTGAATATTAATTCGTTCTTCATTATTAATCCAAGTTTCCGAAAATAACAAAAACGTACAACGTTGTAGCACTTTATCTTGCAGATCAGGCAAATGAGCTCGTAAACTTTGGCAGTTAAAGGAAAACAATGAAATGTCGTTCAAACTTATTATCTCACTCAATTTTTCTTCTTGTGTTATTAATCTACAAGTTGAAAGTCTTTGGAATTCAGTTTTTAAGTTCATTAATCCTGCTGGCCGTTTTCTTCCATGATAAATTTTTTTGAAATGATGAACAATCCATTAATGCTGGTAACTCGTGATAATGCAACATATAGAAGCTGCTGATTATATGTTTTATTGTATTCATATACAATTTTATCAAAAGTACCACCTTGTGATTTGTGTATTGTGAGTGCACAAGCAGACACTAAAGGAAAATGATTTCTTTTGACAAATATGATTTTATTTCTATTCATTGGAATAGATGAAGATCTCCTGAGAATCGGCACAGCTGTCCTACTAATATTAGGAGTTTGAATATGATGTGCAGCTTTCTTCTTATTTTGTTACCTATCTTACCAGGAAATTCAAACCATAAACGTAGAAGTTCATCATTATCGCCACGTTCTATGTACACTAATTTTCCTACACAACCATTAGCTAAGCCATCACTTACATCAATATTAGTTGTTATAATGTAAAATTTATTCAGAACTAAAATTATTTCATACGGCAAACCCGCGGTATCAATAACCGATTTTTGTGAAACTGCTGACGAATGTATGATTGTTGATCTGTCGCATGGCAACCTACATAAATATCCGTGGCAGTAGATATTATTTTGTCTTCAACGAGATTCAGTATAAATTTATTATATTCCATGACACATTTATTCTCTAAGAAAAGTCTTATTCCATGAGGACATAGATTCAATTAATGCAAGTTCATATAGGGTTTAGCGCTCGACTTACGCATGACATGACGGGAGTGGATACTCGCGACATCAGCGCTTACGGCGTCGTAGTGTTCAACTACACGTTGGCATTTTCGTTGCATTTGTACGGATTTACACCCGTGTAGCCTAAAGAAATTTTTACACCCATATCGCGCCTAAAGAAGTTTTACTTCAAAAATACTTAAAATGCTTAACATCATTATAATGAGGTACCATTTTATTGTTATATTATCTAGGAAATATATTCATGAGTTCTCCTCTGTCTTATCCTTCATGCACGTTCCATTCGCGGGCGTGTAACTTTCGTAAATGACTCACTTCATTTCGTTTTAAATTTTGTACATTTATGGGTTTGTCAATGTCTTAACTTTGAAACAAAAGATTAGTAAAAAACCAGTGTTAAAATTTAGATAAATATTATAAAAAAAATATTTTTCATTTATTAAGGTATGTATAAGTGTTATTTTTATATATTAAATGCGTTTGGTTAATGTGCAATGTGTCAAAATGGAAAAGTATGTCGTACTATTGTCTTTGTTGAATTTTGTATTTGACATATTGGAAATAGTTTTGTATACACATTATTAATAATACAGAATTTATACATATATGAAAAATATGCAATTTAATAAATGTAATTTACACGTTGTACATAAATTGTGTAAATTTTGTACACATCTTATCTATTGTATGAGTCATTGTTTATCAAGAATTTGATATATATATATATATATATATATATATATAAATATATATGTGTGTGTATGTATATATCATTGATATGTTCAATTATCCTTACTTTTCAGGTTTTCAAATTAGTTATTTTCCACAATGTCAGCCCGCAAGACAGCTGGTCGCCGTACCACAACCAAGAAACGTGCCCAGAGAGCCACTTCCAATGTCTTTGTTATGTTTGATCAGGCACAGATTGCAGAATTTAAAGAAGCTTTCAATATGATCGATCAGAACCGAGATGGTTTTATTGAAAAGGATGATTTGCATGACATGCTTGCATCTTTGGGTGAGTTATGAATGATGAGTTTATTCAATTGTAATGAATAGATTTTGATGATAATTGTCTGTTAGGTAAAAACCCAACTGATGAATATTTGGAAGGAATGATGAATGAGGCTCCAGGTCCTATTAATTTTACTATGTTTTTGACCCTTTTTGGTGAACGGTTGCAAGGTACTGATCCTGAAGATGTTATCAAAAATGCATTTGGGTAAATATGAAGCATACACTAAATTTATATATATATATATATATATATATATATATATATATATAATAAAATGTTTTTTTTTTAGGTGTTTTGATGAAGACAATACTGGTCACATAAATGAAGAGCGTCTACGAGAACTTTTGACATCAATGGGTGATAGGTTTACTGATGAGGATGTTGATGAAATGTACCGGGAAGCACCCATCAAAGGAGGCTCTTTTGATTACATTGAATTTACACGAATTCTTAAACACGGTGCCAAAGATAAAGATGAACAGTGAGATTTTGTGGAAAGTTGGAGTTTTGTAAGGTTTTTTTCATGTTTTAAATATAAATGCAAATTGCAAATGCTCTTTGTATTATATAATAATGTACTTACTCATATTAAAAGATTGATGAGTATTTGCGAACAATATTTTGGTTACCAATTTTTATATAAAAAGTTTGCTATGAAAATTTATCTGAAATGGTTGATCAGAATAAGTCTAAAACTATTTGTGTAACATGTTCAGATTATATATATACTTGAATATTATTACTGAACACAAAAATTGTTACACAAATAGTTCTGAATTTATGTTTTATAGTTTATAGTTGGCATTTTATGTATTTATATCTTACTATTGTAATATTTTCAATTAAATTTATTTTTTAACCTATCTTACATATTCATTATACATATATTTTTAAATTGCATTTACATCAAATGACAAATATTTAACTATTTACAATATACTTAAATTCTATTTACAAGCCGGGCATAACATAAGCAATATTATCAAGCAAATCACTAAAATCCATATCAGAATTAAGTTCTGGTACCTGTTGCGATAAGCAAACTAAAGGACCTACAGAACACAAAAGACTATCAAGTAAAACACTTAAAGAACCGGACACTGCAATCTGTCCCTACAATAAAAATTAATTAGCAACATTTGCATGAATAATAAAATAAATTGTATTACATAAGAGTTGTATACCTCATGTTCTTTTAATCGTTCACCAATTATACTCAAACTCTCGCCAAGTAACTTTAGATAAGCAGCTATGTCAATTGGGGAACTTCCTGTTACCTTATACATGCCTTGAGATGATAAACCGCTGCTCATTGCTGATGATTTGGGGCTCAACATTAAATTATCAGAATTTTGTTGGGAATTAGGCATCACTTCTAAATCTTCTATATCAAGTTTCTTAGAAACTGTTGGTGAAGTGGAGAATTGGGAGGGCTATAAAGAACATAAATCATAAAATTCATATCATAACAATAAGACAGTAGTCATTTATTACCTTATTAGATTTGCTTTTATTTATAAATTGTGCTTTATTATCAGACGTTTTTATTTCTTCATCTCTCGCTACTTTCATAGCCATACGTTTAGCCCTTCGACGCCAATTATACTTCTCTCCATTAGGCACATTTGCCCAAAGTTCACCTAATGCACATAATGAAGATGAAAATGTAAATATTTAAGTAAGAACAATTATTGCAGTATTATTCACCTAATTTTTTTGATATAGATGAAAAATCAATTGAAGGATTTTCTTTTACGATTTTATTTCTAATTCCTTTAGCCCAGAGCATATAAGCTGTGAAACGAGATTTACCTTTGTCTTTACGTTGTACTTTACCTTTTGCTGGACTTTTGCTGTCTCTCAATAAGGTAGATTTTTTTCTAGACAATTCCTGCTTAAAGTAAGAAAAATATTAAAGGAATACAATACGTTTTATAATTTGCAATTAAGTACCTGTAAGTAAACACTTTGTGAAGGTGTATTTTCAAAATCTTGATGTTCATTTAGATCATTTTCTTCTAAATCAACATCAGAATCGTCTTCTGATACATTACTATCGTTTTCTAAATTTGAATCATAAGCTTCTTCTGATTCACCATCTGAAAGATGTTGTTCCTGAATATCATATTCAACTTTTACACGATTTTCTGAAAACATTAAATATAAATAATCAAAACTGTTAAATCCAAAGAAAAGCACATGCTAATCCAATTACTACCTTCTCCAGATGGGAAATCAAAATTAGATGTGTGTGGCTTTGTAAAACTTTTTTTAGGCCTTGGTTCTAGGTCATCAGGAGACTCAAAATCTGTTAATTTTGACGATTTTTTTCTAACACGTCCGCTTCTCGATACTCCAGTCACTTCCAAGTCTAATTGAAGAAAAACGTTTTGAGATAAAAATCAAAGAATAATGTTTTCGCGGTTTTTTTCTGTTCAGTAAACATAACCTTCTTGCTTTGGTTTGCGTCCGATTTGATCTGGGTCTTCACGTTTTGATTTTAACGATTTGTCGTTGGTGTACATTATGATAAAAGGGATTATATAATAACAATAACATAAATAAAACACACAATTAAAATAAATAAGTGTAATAATGTATTTACATCATTACCAATGTAGCTTCATGTTTGGTATACACATTAAAATTATGTAAATTACGACCCTGCGTAATTAGCTAAAAATTTATATAAATAATAATTAAAATCTATTTAATTATAAAATATATTCAGTATTTATTTTAATATTATTTACAAACTTAGACAAACGCCATTTCGGATCGAGACAGTGTTACCAACTTTATACGTTATGTCATTTTTTGAAACAGTGATGGCAAAGGATACAGAGACAAATTCGTTTTTTATAATTTCTTATTAAAATTAATTAAATTATTCTTATTAAAATTAATTAAATTAATAATAATCTTATTATAATTAATTAAATATCATAATTGGAAAAACAAATATTTTTTAAATATTTAATTCCTAATCTTGACAAATCAAACCAAATCAATTTAATTTAATTGGAATTGTTTTGTTAAAATGATAATATAAAGGATTAGCTCAAAACTAATAAATAAACATTAATCTTAAAAACTTGAATGCGTTTTATATTTTATATAAAAAGGTTGAAAAATATTAGTTTTGTATTTTTAACGACAATTTTTGAAAACTAGTGATGTAAATGTTAGATATATGTTAGAATCAGTTAGAATATTGTGTAGATTATTTAAATTTATATGAAATTTTTAAACTTCTTAAATATATATCAATCGGATAGTTCAAAAGTTAGAAAATATATAATAAATAACTGCAAAAATTGAACGTGGTCCAATGTGCAATTTTTTTTATTATATTCAATTACTACTTTGAAGTATGCCGAGTTACTAAGCTTAGTATTACTATGTACGGTGCTACGGGCTTATAACTCTTTCATCAAAACCATTTTCATTCAAAAGCCGTTTTGTTTAAAAATGATCTTTTACTCCTCGACCTTAACCAGCACTGTTCTTCACAAGATTAAATATTCCTCGGACCGAACGATCCTCTTCGTCTTCACTTCACCAGTTATGTCAATGATGTGATGTTGTACAACCTCAAACTATTAATTAATTCTATTTGTGATATAAATAAATCTATAATAATGTCTAAATGTGATTAAATGCCAATGATTTATTTTATAATGCACAGTTTAATAATAAGCGAGTGATATTATTCAAGAATAAAATAGAAGAAGGATTAGAATCGTCATGGATCCTGAAAAACGTGTATATAAAATAGTACTTACAGGAGGTATGTGAGGACATTGATTTATTGTTGATTGTTTAGTTGTAATTTTATTAATTTGTATAAAATCATTCACAATTAAACACGTGCTGGTAATCTTCCGGTTGCCGTGCGTCGAGTTGCAAATGAAAAACTATGTGGATACAGCTAAAAATAGTTATTTTATGTAATATCATGTTACAGTACTAGAATAATTTTAAATATATACCTTTGATGAAAATTATAATAGTTGGGGATTGTGCAAAAATGATTTAACTAAATTTTGCAACTTATGTGTGTGGAAAATCACATGTCTCATGTTTATACAGATACATATATATCATAAGTTATTGTTTGTATCTTTTATGTAATACCTTAATTTAATATAATGATATATATAAATACACATATACACAAATATGAGTATATGCATATTCTTATAGTGCTAACAAGATTTGAACTAATCCGCTATAAATATATTAAATATATGCAAATGTTCATAAATGAACAGTATAACCATATAATTCTTAATATAATTCACATTATGATAATGTAAGTTTTTATGATAACTTTTAGCTACAATCAATACGAGATCGTGCAACTATAAGAATTTTTTAAAATACTTTGTAGAATTCAAAAATATTACATATATATATATATATATATATATATATATATATATAATAAATCAAGTTTAAAAGCGCAAGTCCAAATATAATATATGTTCAAGCTAAATGAGTCGAACACAATAGGAGAATTATTAATTATGCAGATTTATCAAGAGTTTCATTTATCGTGTACTATTTTTATTCCAGATGCTTTTCGAATTAAATTCAAAATTTATTATTGGATATGAATGTGTATGTAAACAAGACACTTGGTTTAATTAAAATTGTGTCTTTAATTGACTCGAGACATTCAATTTGAATTTATTGTTAAATAATTGCTCTAAAGTCCAATATTTATTTTACAATTAAACTCCATTTTATAATTGGAAATATGATATTCTTCTGGTCCAAATGTAATATATATTGTTGAAGTTAAATAAGTCGAACACAAGAGGAGAATTATTAATTATGCAATATTTATCAAAAATTCCATTTATTGTGCACCATTTTTATTCCAGATTCTTTTCAACTTAAATTCAAATTTATTATTGGATATGAATGTGCATGATGATTTATTAGTATATGTATATACAAGACACTTAATTTAATCAATATTGTGTCTTTCATTGACTCGAGACATTTAATTTGAATTTATGGTTAAATAATTTCTCTAAAGTCCAATATTTATTCTACAATTAAACTCCATTTTATAATTGGAAATAAGATATTCTTCTGGTCCAAATGTAATATATATTGTTGAAGCTAAGTAAGTTGAACACAAGAGGAGAATTATTAATAATGCAATATTTATCAAAAATTTTTTTCATCATGCACTATTTTTGATCCAGATGCTTTTTAAGTTAAATTCAAAATTTATTATTGGATATGAATGTGTATGATGATTTATTAGTATATGTATATACAACACAAGATACTTAGTTTAATCAATATTGTGTTTTTAATTGACTCGAGACATTCAATTTGAATTTATTGTTAAATAATTGCTCTAAAGTCCAATATTTATTCTGCAATTAAACTCCGTTTTATAATTGGAAATAAGATATTCCTCTGGTATGATGGATTCGTAGAAAACAATTTAATGAATCATGCTTTTAATGGAACACGAACAAAATCCTTGATACAGATCTGAGCTTATTAGGAAATATTTTTAAAACTGCTAATTGAATTTTTGTTATTTTATTATAGTTATTGTAGTTTTTGCATAATTTTGTTTCAAAGAATTTTTAAACATAAATCATAAAATCAATTACATTGTGATAAGAATTTATTATCCAGATAAAATCAATTTGATTGTAAATATGCAATGTTTACATTAGCAATTAATTTGCATTTAATTGATTTGTTGTTTATAATATTACTAATTTGATTTTAATAATTTACTGATAAGGATTTCATGACGCAAATTTATTTGATAACATTTGCTATAAAATAATTTAATACATTTTATGAACAATAAATTGTTTATAAAGCATTTGGTTTTGTTTAGCATTGTTTATAAATATGATGGTTATTTTAATTCAGAGTTATTTTTTATTTCAATTATGGTTTTAAAATTTGAATGCAATTTTCTACTTCATTAAGAATTTTTGTTTATACAAGTGTTATGCTTAACGTTTTGCAATTTTGCAATTTGAAAAAAATGGAGCAGGTCTGACGCACTTTATAATTATTTTACATATATATATATATATATATATATATATATATATTACCTGTTTATTTTTGTTTTAGTTTTATTCATTACCACTTTTTTATTATATTTCAGGGCCATGTGGTGGAAAAACAACAGGTCAATCAAGATTGAGCACTTTTTTTGAAAATTTAGGATGGAAGGTAAAAAAATTAATTTTGAATTGTATATAACTAAATAATTATTTAACAATTTTTTTTCCATTCTTTAATTTTCATAGTAATCTTGTCTACATTCACAATTTTTATATAATATTTATTATAATACAATTTTGCAGGTTTTTCGTGTACCTGAAACAGCAACAGTTCTATTGAGGTAAGTTTATTTTTATATATATATATTTATATATATATATATATATATATATATATATATACATGTGTCATAATAAATTTTGTAACATTAGACGCCACTTTATATTATCATATCTAATTACAATATTATGCACATTTCATCACGCAATTTTCTTATTTTTCACATTCGTTATTTATATAAGATAAAGTAATCTCATACGGATATTTGATATCATTTTAAGGGCATGTAATAATTAATTTTCTGTAATTTGTAAAATTGATACCAGGGTTCAGAAATTATTTTTGCCTGGTTTTTGGCATACATATTTAACAATAAAATAGCGATGCATTGTTACCTTTGTTGTATTTTAAAACATAACTATTTTATAGCATTAAATCGTGTTTAAGTTAAATCGTTAACACAAAAATATTTTCGATGTTTTGTCGCCATTGTTCCATTGTAAACAATTCAGAACACAAATAACTGTAGAAACAATAAAATATTTTTTAATAATACCTATTTGCATTTTTTCGAAAGAACAATGATTTTATACAAGTCCATTATATTTTATATAAGTATAAGTCTAGTATATTTTATATAAGTCACTTGAAGTAGATATTTGATAATTATTTTATCAACTTTTGATATCTATATAGAACAATTTTGTTTTTAAAATTCGAAGAAATTATTATTTTATTTAAAATAAAAATCTTACATACTTTTATGGCTATTTTTTATTAATATTTTTTTGTTACCATCGTTCAACAATAAAAAAGTTCAGGAGGTATTCGAGTGTAGAAATTCCAAAAAATCGTTTTGTTTTTTGATGATGAAAATCTCATACTTTTATGGCTATTTTTTATGAATATTTTTTGTTACCATCGTACAACAATAAAAAAAAGTTCAGGGGGTTTTCTAGTGGAGAAATTCCAAAAAATCGTTTTTTGTTTTTTTTGATGATGAAAATCTCATATTTTTATGGCTATTTTTTATTAATATTTTTCCTTGTCATCGTTCAACAATAAAGCTATTCTAGTGTATAAATTCCAAAAAATATTTTTTTTTTGTTTTCATATTTGCAAAATCAAAAGTATGTGTGCGAGAGGTTTTTTTTATAATTTAAATTATTTTCGGAGATACAGCTGGTTGGCCATGATAATCCTCCTCTGCAAAATGAAGGCATTTTGCAAAATTTTGAACGCTTTTTCAAAACTGTTTTTTTTTCAATACAATGTTCACGAGTTCTCGAGTTCTTCTCGGATTCACTAGAAATTTTCCGAATATCTATAAACTTTTATCTGGCATATACTAGCCTCATCCCCGAACTTGAATTCTTATTATTTTCAAAAAATTCGAGAAACTCAAAGTGCTGAGAAAAAGGTCTTAAAAATTAACTCAATCTTAGTATATGCCATTGCTGCAATCATTCTTCTTTATATCCATCATCCCCAAATTTGAATTTTCGATTTTTTAAAAAAATCTAGAAAGTTTTTTTTTTTGAAACAGTTGCTATTTCGTAAAAAAAAAAATTTTTAACTTAATTCTAGTATATGCCATTGTCGCAATCATTTTAGATTAATTATTTTTTTTTTTTTAATTTTGGATTACTAGGAGGGTTGCAATCGTTGACACGGTCATGTGCCATTTTTTTGTGACCCTCCACTTCAACAACTACTGATTTTTAAAATTAACATTTTTTAATTTTTTTTTCTGAACTCTTAATGTTGATAAATAAATTATGAAAAAATAATATTGAAAGAATGTATTGCTTTTTTTTACGATGATTTAAAAATGACATAAAATCCATGTCTCTACACTAGAATTCCCTCTTGGTATAATAAATTTGTTTACATTGTTTTATATGTATATTTAGATTGGCATATAGAGTACCTACCTAAAACTAACTAACTACCTATCTAAAATTTCAGTTTTATTAATTTTATGCATCAGTAATATTTTTTAATCAATTCATTATACATATATAATTAATTTGTTCGGGATTAACTTATATATGTATATTTATATTTCTTCTTCGTCGTGCCAATGAACGTATTAATGATAAGAACAAGTTTCTGCAAGGTCTTCTTATTAGAGTTTAACATCCGTATTTAATAATCATAACAGATTTTATCTTTAAATTTAATATTAGTGATTTAAATGTTGGATCAGATTTTTGTCAATAAAATGAAGTGCATTTACCTCTTCTCAGGAAGACCTATTTAATTTATTGTCATTAGATTATACAATTTACTTTAAATATTGATTTGTTTTATGTAAACAAGATACTAAATGGATTCTAGATGTAACCAAATTGTCATTGTGTCAATAAAGAATTATAATAGATAATTTAATATACTAAATTATATAATGGACATTTTTAAATTTTCTTCTTTGAAATATAAATGTTAATAGCCATTCTATAAACTTGTTGCTTTCTAAATAATAATCTAAAGGGGCCACATTTTTTTACTTTGCATTTCTTGTAGCTATAGTTTCACTGTTGACTATTGAACATGTTTTTTATATATTAATAATAAAATTTACACTATATTTATATCATTCAAATAAGTCAGTTTGCGTGTTGGCTTTTAGCAGTATTAGTTAAAGAATAATTTGAAGACAAACAATTATTTATATTATAATTTAAAAAAATACATATGTCTTCGTCGAATGCAGTTGTAATAATGGTTTTAGATTTTTATTTGAGAAGTATTTATTATACAAACATTATTTAAGTACTCTTCTCTAAAAAAAAAACTTCTAAATGTACAATAATATAACATATGTTTTGTATACATATATATTTTTTTAGATATTTAATATCTAAACTAATATTTTAGAAGCCGCGTTATTTTTAACAATAGCATTTCATCCAAATTTTAATAAAAACCACAATCATTTAACACTACATTTTAGTTTATCTTTTGAAAATTGGAAAAAGATTTTTTGGAAAAATTTGAAAGGGTTGATTTTTTTTTGAAGATTCTGAATTTATTTGAAATTTTTGGAAAAGGTAGATTTAAAGAAATTGAGTTTTTACGTATACACACACACACTTCTTATTTAATATTTTTATAAGCCACGTTGTTTTCAATTAACACGATATTTAATCAAAATTAGTAAAACTGAAGTTATTATACTAAATGTATACATTTTATATCATATGTATATATTTTATATTACATGTATATATTTTATATCATATGTATATATTTTATTTAAATTATTTGTTTATCTTCTGTATCTTTTAAATATTTTCTGTCCATCATTTCGACTATTTTCGACTATCATCATCCAGTTTAACATCAAGTTAATAATGAATGACTTTAGGTTATCTTTAAGATTAACTTTGGCCTATTTTTTTTTAGCAAATCGTAAACAACTAATATTATCTACATTTTTTGCGATTACTCTCGAAATTCAAGGACTTCGAATTAAAAGATTATTCACGTTTAAATATAAATGTACGTGTTTCCCACATTGTGGTGATTCCGATGAGTCTTATCGCAAAAATATATGGCATTTGCGTGGAAACTTACATACAAACTCAGAAATAAATATGATAATATACAAATTTAACGCAAATAGTTTGTATTTGCACAAAAACTTAAATAAACGTGAGAAAACTAACATCCTGTCGACTGTATGCACATGAGTATGTATAATTAATATTGAAGACTTAATTATCAAATGAACAAAATATATAGTTGGTTGATTTTAAATTGGAATTCTATTTATTAAGACTGGGACAGAATACTTATAATCCTTCAGTAATATAAATATCTTTCTTTGTCTGATCACAATTCATGCAGAGAGAAAACTGACTAAATTTTTATCGACAAGATAAATTTATTTACTTCAATAAATTTTCCATATCTTTATCGACATACATTTAATTTTAATTAATTATTTTACACAGTAGCAATCGATGTTTACCCATATTTATTTAATTACTAAATGTGTGCATATTTTTAATATAAATATTATTTTTCAGCGGTGGCATAAAATTCTCTGATCTATCAGAAGATGAAGGTAATTTTTGTATTTTTACCATAACTTTTTTTTTTCATACTAGTTAAACATAGAATATTCAATTCAAGTTTAACAAAATTGCCAAAATATAAAATATTTTTTTATTTTGCTAAAATAGTAAATTTAGTTATTTTACTTATGAATTTATTTGTTTTAAAATTAATAAATATTGTTGTTTACATTGGAAATATGCAAAAACATCACCGCGTTTTAATAAAATAGGCACAATGATTTTCATTTTTTTATTGTGATTTAATTGTAGAAATTGTTATAAAATTGTTGAAATAATTACAGTACAAATGATAGTAGTTACTGTAGAATTATAACAGTACAAATAAAATTTTAAATTTCATTATGACTTTGTTAAAAATAGTTATACTGAATTACTTAATTTGATTCTTTTTGCTTTCATAATTTGTGGAAGGTTATTGCGGTTATCAAATAACATGAAAAATATTAAATAATAATTATCGTCAACGTGTTTGCAGATAATATATTTGTTTACATGTAATATTATACATGCAAATGCGTCTAGCAGTTCAATAAAAATTGCCAATTATTCCAATTGACATTGAAGTTTAATCTTTATTTATTTTGTGTATATATATATATATACATATATATATATATATATATATATATATATTGATTACTGAATATTTGTGTCAATTGATGCTGCTTATACTTATATATAAATATAAATTAAATACCATCAACATATATCGAAAAGGCTCTCTTAAATTTATAATGATAATTACGAATTATAAAGTGTATATTTTAATAAAATCGTTTCAAACTATCACTTTTCCACTTATTACTATTACAATGACTTTCATTCCTCTATTATTTTTCAGCTCTCAAATTTCAAGAAAACCTCCTCAGAACGATGCTCCAGATTGAAGACACATTCTTCGAGCTGGGCAACAGTTGCAAGAGGAATTGTCTTATCATATGTGATAGGGGTGCCATGGATGCAAGTGCTTGTAAGTATAAATTAAATATAAATAATTGTGTTATATATATATATATATATATATATATTTTAATGTGCTTATTTTGTATTCTAGTTATATCTCGCGATAAATGGGAACAGATGATGTTGGCAAACGAGTGGAATAGTGTAGAGCTCAGAGATAATCGGTATAATCAAATTATACATATGGTATCTGCTGCTAAAGGAGCTGAGCAGTTCTATTCGACCGAAGTAAGGAGGAAATAAGCACTAAATGTGCATGTATTTTTTATTCCCCTTTACAAATATTAAATAATTTAAGTAACTTGAGTGAGGTGTGTGGGAAATTTAGTTAAATGTCTAAAATATCTACAATTTTGCCACTAAAAACACTAAGCCTTAAATTAATATTGTATATTCATGTCTCAATAGAATAAGAGAAATATTCTTAACAAAATTTATATTTATTAACATTATTTATATTTATTTCAGGAACATGTTTGCAGATCAGAAGGTGTGGATGTTGCTAGATTGCTTGATGACAAGGTAACGTTTATAAAGAATATCTACTAGTACCTGATTAAATTTCATTTTAAACGTTAGATTTCAACAAAGTTGTATCAACTTAAAAATTTATTTTACATAATTATAAAAAAAATTAAAGTACCATAATTATTTTCTAGGCAGCTGCAGCCTGGGTGGGTCATCCTTATTTTGATGTCATTGATAATTCTACAGATTTCGAAGCTAAAATGAATCGTATGATTGAAAGTATCTGTGTCAAGATTGGAATTGACACAGGAGATCGTCTCAGAGTGAATTCAAGAAAACTCAAATTTCTTGGTAATTTTTTTCACTTATTATTGCAATAATGATGTAAGAAAAAAAAATCACATAAATATTATTCTAATAGTGTCAGGTCCATTGCCAGATGAGTCTGTTTTTCCTCCTTTCCAAGATTTCGATGTCGTCCACAATTATCTGCAAGCTAGTGGACCACGAGTTCAAGCTAGGTTGAGAAAACGTGGTCAGAGGGGACATTGGAGTTATATTCATACGATACGCAGGTAAGAATAGAAAAAAAAATTACTATTTAATACTAGAACTATTTAGTAATTAGTTAAATTAATTTTTGTTTTTTTTTAGACCAAAGGTTCATGGTCAATCTGTAGAAGTGAAGACACAAATAACCCATCGAGATTATATTAATCTACTCTCTCAAAGAGACGATGCCCATTTCACTATTTATAAAAAGAGGAGGTGTTTTCTGGTGAACAATCAGTATTATCAACTTGATATCTATCGTGAACCAAGTCATCCAAGGCAAGCTATGCTCTATTTATAAGATAATTTATTATTATATGATAAATTATATTATATTATACAGATAATTTATATTTAATTCATAATTTCAGGTGTAAAGGTCTTATGTTACTTGAGACTTATACAGCCCTGGCTGATGACCAATTAGCAAAAACTCTACCCAAATTTTTGCAAATTGAACGTGAAGTCACTGGAAATCCTGATTATTCTATGTTCAATCTGTCTTTGAAAGAGGAATGGACAGATACTAAACATTTTTGCCGCTCCTTACTTAATGGTAATAGAATTGATAAATGGAATTTTATATATGTATATATAACAAATATTTGAATTTCCTTTTATTTTTTTCCAGGTGTCTCATCAAAAGACGATTCATTAAACAATCATATAAAAAATAACTGCAAAATAGTAAATGGTAAAACTTGAGAATCAAGTTAAAATAAATGTGGTCCAGATAGTTATATATTTAATACATACTTTAAAAATTAATATTTTTAAAAAAATAAGTGTACAATACTTTATTAAATGTTAAGGAAAATCACGTTTTAAATTACTGAAATTTTATACAGGGCTGTAGGAAGTTTTGATCATTTCATTCTTAAACTAAGTACTTAGTTTTCAAGTACTGGAAGTGCTAGTATTTATTAATCTAAGAAATTATAAATATTTTTTTCATAAGTTAAATATTGAATATGCACACAGTTAGTATTTTAACCAGATTGTCCATTACAACTTTTTGTTTTTTTTTTTTCATCTAAGCATTTTTATCCGGATAAATTATTGTTTTTACATTGATCCCAATGCCATTGAAAAGCTTTTTTTTCACTTTTTTTTTTAAGTGATCATATTTCTTACGTTTCTTGAACAATGTTTTAGAAGTAAACTACCTATTTTTTTTTAGTTTGGGTCATTTTAAAAAATATCTATAGTTATAAAGAATTAATGTATTATGGAATATAATTCATTGCTTTAATTCTAGCAATGCTCTCGTGTGAGTTCAATAAGAAATTAGAAACATATTTTATTAGTGAATGTATATTAATTTTATTCGATTTTATAGCCCTGCTGTTTTAATGATTATTATAATATGCTATTTAGTTGTTTTGAATTTATTGTTGTTACATTATGAATATTTTTAATTGTAATATATTGCATTAATAAGATTGTTATCATGAAAAAACACTATTTAGGTACTTATTTGAAAAAGTAATATTTTTGGCACTTAGGATAAATTAGTTGTTAAATATTGTTGTTACAATTTTGTTAATGTAAAATTATATAATATATATATATATATATATAATTTAATATTTGATACATCTAAATCGTAGTAATTTTCATTATATAATTCGTATTTTTGATTTAGATGTGTTATTATTATTATTATTGTATGATTAGTTTAATTCTTCAATTTGTTAAGCATTATATCTTGGTTTCCATGTTATTTTTTATGCAATAAGTCGATGTCATATAGAACTTTATATATATCAAGTATTGTAATTTTAAGAATTCTTTTCAAAACATGTAGTTTTAATATTAAACTGACTTATAATCAAATGATGTTAATTATAAGTATGTGTACTTAACAATCAAAAAAATTGGGAAAAATGCTAAGAAATTGATACTTAATGTATAGAAATATTTTTGTCAAAGACTTAATAAAATTATATTTATTGAATGATGTGTTTATAAAAGTATAGTCTCAAAAGGATATGATAGTTTGGAATATATATATATATATATATATATATATATATATATATATATATTCATGTTCATATTTTGTTTGCAGTTTGAATTTGAATTTGCCGCCATGGGTTTTTAAACCTTTCAAGTGTTATCTTTTTCATTGCAGGTTCCTCCATGTTTTACCAGCGCATGTGTTTCAAATACATCAAAGAAAAGAGGTTATAACATAAAATTAGTTACTATCAAGTTTTTATTTTATAATACTTAAATTTAAAAGAACTCGTTTACAAACATGGGACGTAAAGCGAAATTTGATGAGAATGATAAAATCATTAAGAAAGGCCCTGGGCGTAAAAATAAAAAACAAAGGGATCCTGTTTTCGCACAGGAGAAAGGTAATATTTTGAATAAAAAGATACTTAGTATGTTATCCAATTACATTTATTGTTATATATTATTTGATAATTATATTATCTGAAATTATTATATTAAACTTATTTTTATAATGGAACATATAGATTATGATCGGTTCGAGCTCATGTCTCTTAATCAAGTTGATACTCGATTATAATTATTATTTAGTAGTAATATTGAATGGGTTTTGATCTCTGTTTGCTTTGTTTTTAGATGGCAAGATCAGCAAATCAAAAAGCCATCGACAAAAACAAAGAGAAATGAAAAGGCAATTGAAACAGGCAGTGAAGAAACAGAATACTTCACAAGATAAGACTACAGCTATTAAGAAGAAATCTGGTGTTAACAATAATATCATAGCAAATAAAAAAGGTAAATAATTATTATTAGATATACATTCTATATCATCTTTTCATCAATAAACTTTTATTTAGACAAAGATTCTTCAAAGCACCATAAACTAGTAAAACCACAAAGTGTAACATCTTCAGAAGAATCTGAAGAGGAGATAGTTTTAAATACCAAAAAGAAGAATAATACCATTAAAGAGTTTTCTGATTCTAATAAAACTTGGTTGACGCCCAAAAAGAAAAAAATTGAAGAAGAAGATGACGATGACGATTCTGATAATTCAGAAGTAGATGAAGCTTCCGAAGATTCAGATGAAGATCAGCAAGAATCTGACAGTGATGATGAAGAAGTTGATGGTGTGCATATTTTTTATTGTAAAATATTATAAATTAGCTAGCATTAAATGTATGTTTTTATTGTTTGTAGATGATTGCAAAGTTGGGTCATTAAATGACGTAGATGTTGAAAGTGATGATGATGATTCTGATGAAATTGGAGATGATTTTGGCAATAAAGACGGTATGTGATTGTTTATACATATTAATATCGTCGGTTGCATATTTTACAAATTCATAATTGCAGATTCTGATGATGATGACGAAGATGAAATGTTACCAATAGAAAAAGAAAATAAGAAGCTCAAAAAACAACAAAAAAGAGAATTGAATGAATCTCAAGCAGAACTTCAATTAAATATTGCTGATAAAGAGCATTTTGCTTTTCCTTCTGAATCTGAGCTAGAGAAGCCTATTTCATTGCAAGATGTGCAGAAACGAATAAGAGATATTGTAAATCTTCTGACAAATGAATCAGAACATCTAAAAAAAGATAAGGAGCATTCCAGGAAGGATTATATGGAGTTATTGAAGACGGATTTATGTTCTTATTACAGGTAGAAAATAGTTCAAATGTATATATATATATATATATATATATATATATATATATTATATAGGCATTACAAAAGTATTCATATAATTATTTTATAAATTTGTTGCAGTTATAATGATTTCTTAATGGAAAAACTGATGCAACTGTTTCCATTGAATGAGTTATTGGAGTATTTGGAAGCTAGTGAAGTCCAAAGGCCTTTAACAATACGTACAAATAGTTTAAAAACACGTAGAAGAGATTTGGCACAAGCTTTGATCAATCGTGGTGTTAATTTAGATCCAGTTGGGAAATGGACACAGGTATAAAATGCATGCATTATATATATATATATATATATATATATATGCAGGATCATTATAGCTGAAAATTAACATTGATATGTTTTAGGTTGGTTTAGTTGTATACAGCTCAACTGTACCTATAGGAGCAACTCCAGAATATCTGGCAGGGCATTATATAATTCAAGGTAATACACATACTCTTCTGAAATTGTATTTATTAGAAAATTAAATATGTTTTATATTTGTAGGTGCTTCTAGTTTTCTCCCTGTGATGGCTTTAGCTCCTCAACCAAATGAACGAGTTCTTGACCTCTGTGCAGCTCCTGGTGGCAAATCTTCACACATAGCTGCATGTATGAAAAACACAGGAGTTTTATTTTCAAATGACGTTAATAAAGACCGTGCCAGGGCTATTTCTGGAAATTTCCATCGGCTGGGTATTGTGAATAGTGTTATTTGCTCCTATGATGGGCGTAAGTTTACAAATGTTATCAAGGGATTCGATAGA